CAAAGACATTCAGTTAGTTTACTGACTATGTAAATAGCCACCTGCACGTTTTGGATATACTAATTTTCAAAATGGAACTATCAAAAAGTGGCAGTATAAATGAAAAAAAAAAAAAAAGCATAATTCCTTTTCCCAATATGGAAAATCTTGAATTTAGTAAAAATTAACCTACTAAACCATGGTTGGACTGCTGGTGTGTCATTATAGGATAAGCACTGGACCGTACATCACAAAGTTGGCAGTTCGGATCCACCTGCTACTTCATGAAAACCCTATATAGGGTTGCTATGAATTAGAACTGACTTGAGGACACTTAACAACAATAACAAACCAAGATTTGTACACTGACTTGAAACTATATTTCAGACATCTTAGCTGGAAGGGTAAATAGCAACTCTGGGAAATTTAGAAGATATACTAACCACTATTACTTCATGACCTCTTTAAAATTTTTTAGAAATAAAAATTCTGCATATCAATTTTTTTAAAAATACACATTAAATCTTTTTTTAAATCACATTATACAATGCCCTCTTCTAGATAGATCCTAGTTACTACAACTTCTTGTTCCCTTTCTGGATTCTACAAACATATTTGATTACTCAGACCATTATTAATCTAATATTAGCAGGAATGAAAACGTTATTTTGGAGAGTAGATTATATTCTGTGGGTACATCACACATACTTGTAATACAAGGAGAATAAAGTGTGGGCTTTAAAAATTTTTTTTTTCCATTTGTCAATGATATTTTAGTTCACTTGAGCTCAATTCAACATTAATTGATCATTTAATATATAAAAGATAATTGGAACAAATGTTAGGACTTGGTGTTACTGTTGTCACTATACTAGTACTACTATGAGTGGTAATTAATACTTATTCAATACTTTATGCATAAAGCATTACCCACTATAATAACTAATCTTTATATTAACACTTGCTGTTGCTGTTAAGTGTCATCAGGTGGATCCTAGATAGGGCTTTTGAGAAGTGGCTGGTGAATTTGAACGACCAGCTTTTAGATTAACAATCCAGTGCTTATCCTACAGTGCCACTCCAGGACTCTTTAGATTAACATGTGTTATTGTTAAGTGCTGTGGAGTCAGTTTCAACAAATAGCAACCCTGTATATGGTTTCCAAATATTGGCTAGTGAGCTTTAGCTGGTGACCTTGCAGTTCAAACCAACCTTGAAGTTCAGTGCACTAGCTCACAGCACCACACCAGGATTCCAGATTAGCACTACGAGGTAGTAATAATATCCAGTTTACTGTAAAAGAAATTGTAGGTCAAATGATTTGTTCAAAGCTACTAGCATGCAATCAGTGGAGCTGGTCCGTGAAACAGCTTTTAGTCTCCACAGTCAAGATAGCTGGCTACGGTGCTTTCCTCATGAAAGGGCAATATGTGTGAAATAAGACATGGAAACAAACTTTAGATCAGGTTAAAATGTGAATAACACTGTAGAGATTGGTTCTATAGATACTGAGAAAAGGGTGGTAATGCTTTGTTTATTCAAAAATTCAAAATATTATTGATGAATACTGTATGAAAAAGAGTGTTAAAACTTGAGATAATCAAGGGAAACTTTAAAGAAGTGGGTTTATTAATTTTCATGTGATTAAATTGAATGTCCACGTAACTGTGCGAGAAAACACATTTAAAATGTGAGATACAATTTAATTAAATAAAAAAACAAATACATAGAAACAAAAAAAATACAGCTTAGAGCCTGGGAAGCTGATCAGAATCATTTTTGTAAGGATGAAGAACAATTGAGAGAAAAATTAGGCTTTAAATACGTTGAAGTCAGAATTTCAAGAGTTTTGACTGTATGACAGTCAAGACAGATAAAGGTTAATAAGAAAAATGTTTTGTTAAAAGTATGAAGGACTGAATCTAGAACCTCAGGAAATAAAGACATCAGCTCCCCATGCTAAGCACAAAACCCAGTGAACTTATACACTAAAGCATCTAAACATACTCTAAGTTTGAGGATACTTCTTCATCTGGTGTACTTTCATCTTCTGACTGATCACTTAGAAGATCACATGTTTGAATTGATGAAGTATCTGCAACCTCTAAAACAGGAGCAATGCTAGGTCTTCTGATTTCTTTGCCTCCCTCTGAAGGAAGAGACAAGGTAGGGCCACTTGTTGATCTACAGCTTGTGTCTTGCAAATCTATAGCCACAGTGCCTAACACAAAGAAATATGAAAGTCCATTAAAACATTTGTCATCCATATGATATGCTGATCACTTAGCAATAAAATTCAAATAAAAGGCAATCAATATAATTAAGAAATATATTGCTATATATCCTTTAGTTCAAAGGCTAATTATTTATTTTCCCAAGATAGGAATTTGCTTATTTGTATAACACTATATATTTTTTTCAGTCTAGCTCTGTAGCACAAAATAGAGGATCTGTGAAATCCTAAAGTACTTAAGAACTTAATATGACAATGTATACATATTTCCATTTGTCTTTCTTTAAAATTTTAAAATTTTTTTGCTGGCCATTTTTTGTGTGTGGATTTCCCATTATGTCCTTTCCCACATTTTCTATTGAGTACCTTTTTCTTATTGACATTAACATTTTATATCTATTCATTCCACAAATATTTATTGAGTTGACATTTTGTATTTATTCACTCATAGCACAAATATACTCAATAAATATTTGTGGGATGAGTGAATAGACATAAATGTCAATGTCTGTGATATAAACAGTGGTTAAACTCTGAATGTCCATGGAATAAGACTACTAAAGTATCTATACGTATAAATTTTATCTTTAAAATGATCAAACAAACAAATAAAACAGTTTTAGATAATGATAGATACCATGCATAAAAGAAGCACTGTGGCTCTGTCAGATAAGCATTTGACTGCTAACCACAAGATCAGTGGTTTGAGCCCAGCAGCCATTCCAATGAAGAATAAATGTGAAGATTTACAGCCTTGGAAACCCCATACAGCGTCACTATAAGTTGGATTCAACTTGACAGCACTTAACAACAAGCATGCATAAATAAACACAGTGATGTGGTACAGATTGGTGGCATTGGGGGACAGGAAACAAACTACATTTGGTGGACAAGGAAAACCAAGTCTGAAGTTACAAAATTTGATTTTGAGTTTAAAAGAAACACACACCATGAGATCAACTGTAAGAAGAGCAAATGGTTTTTGATTATTTAACACTGAGGAGTGCCTGGGTAGCATAAATTGTGAAGGACTCCACTACTAATCAAAATATTGGTACTTCAAAGTCACCCAGAGGCGGCTAAGGATAAAGTCCTGCTGATCTGCAACCAAAGGATCACAGTGTTAATAACCCTATGTTGTTGAGTACCATCAAGTCAGTTCTAACCCACAGTGACCCTGAATAGGGTTTCCAAGGAGTGGCTGGTGAGTTTAAACTGCCAATCTTGAGGTTCTAATTGACTTTGCAGTCCAGCACACTAACTCACAGCACTGTATCAAGACTCCAAAAACCCTATGGAGCACAGTTATAGTCAGACACACATGGAAACACCATGAGTCAGAATCTACTCAGTGGTAACTAGTTTTGGTTAAAAGTCATAATCCTTACATTGATCTCCAAAGCCCTACAAGATCCTACTCCCTTTTACCTCTTTGATTTAATCTCCAACTTCATATAATGTTTATCAATGTGTTTGAGCACAAGGGCACATATGTCAAATTTAGCGCTTTTTATGTTGTTGTTAAGTGCTGTTGAGTCAGTTCCATCTAATTGTAACCCTGTATAGGGTTTCCAAGGAGTACTGGTGTGGCACTGTGAGTTAATGTGCTGGAATGCAACTGCAGTGTTGGTGGTTCAAGCTCACCATCGGCTCCTAAGAAACCCTATACAGGGTAGGGTCTCTATGGGTTGGAACTGACTTGACAGCACTTAACATAAACAACAACAACAACAACAATAGGGTTTCCAAAGAGCAGTTGGTGGGTTTGAATTCCCAACCATGCTGTTAGCAGTCTAGTGCTTATCTTACAGCACTATCCCAGGACTTTTACACTAGCTGTTATTTCTTCTGAGAATATTCTTCCTCCAGAAATCCACAGGGCTAATTCCCTCATTTTCTTTAAGTATTTGCTGAAATATCACATTTTTTATGAGAACTATCAAATAGTCACTTAAAATCCAATTCTTATAGACTTTGTAACCCTCTTTATTATCTATTTTCATCTTTTTCTTCCCTTACATTTCTTACTATCTTTTAACATAACAAATTATCTATATTTTATCACCTGCCTTTCCCTGAAAGAAAATAAGCTCCATGAAGGCAGGGATCTTGGTGTGTTTGCTCACAAACATTAATAAGAGTTTCTGAAACATGATAGAAACTTAGTAATAATAAACGAGTGAGAAAAAACAATGGATAGTGCTACTACAAAGACTAAATAATATGTTAATGACAAACAGGGTTGTCTAACAGTCTAACTAAGGCTATGTAATATGAGAGTAAGTCTAAAGTATTGCTAAAAAATCATAGAAACCTTTATTTGCCCAAAATAATAAAATGTGAAACTATTGTTTTTGAAATTATCTTCCATCTAGGTCTATAGAATTCTGAAGACAGTGCTTCCATCTCTAACACTTCCCCAAAGAATTTTATGCTCTTTGACTTACATCACCTCAAAAGGGTAGATTAGTCATCTTTGAGAGGTTAAAATTTTGTTCCTTTTATGTTCTTAGAGATTTGGGAACAAAAAAAGAGTCTGAAGGGGCAAGATGAGGGCTGTAAGGTAGATGCGGTAAGGTTATCTAATGAAATTCCCATAGGATAGTCCTTGCTATACTGAAAAATGAGCAGTTGCATTTTCGAAATGGGGGAAAAAACAAATGACCTTGGAACAACTTTTCTGAAATTTTCTTACCAGTGCCATTTTCAAATTTCTTAAAAATTCTTCAAAATAAGCCTGCATGACCATTCTCTGTCCTTAGACAAAATTTATCAAGATGACCACTTCAGAATTAAAAAAAAAAACCACAAAAAACCACCAGACAACAGTCACCATAAAACCCGCTGAGCTGACCTCTGCGCCTTGAATTTAATTAGCCCAGCAGATCGCCTAGGAAGTCATTTTTGATTGGCCATTGCTCTCGGAATAATATGGTTAAATCCTAGATTTTACCCAGTTATGATTCATTCCATAAAATTATCTTTATTAGCTTCAATTTTGCTTAAAGACTCAGGGAAACAACAGTTCCAGCTTAAAACTTGCTGAGGTCACGATGTTTACTTAAGATTGAAAACAATGAACCATGAGAGATATCAATTTCAGTAGCTATTACATCAATTGTATTTCTACAGTCTTCTTCACCAGTTTCTGGACTTCAGCCTCAGTTTCTTCATTAATTGAAGTTAACAGTCTTCCCTTTCTAGTCTCATCTTTGAGGTCTTCCTGGATTCCTTAGTGCTCTGGATACATTTTAAAAAATCTTGTTTTTTGTGTCAGACAACAGTCCTGCAAACTTGTTGCAAAACTTTAATGATTTGGGGAGATATCAACTTTGGTTTTGTTAAACATGTGATATTAGTCATTACTTTAAAATCAATTTTTTAATGAAACAAACTATCATTTTTTTTGAAGGTTCCATAACAAGATTAAGACAAGTGTATATTACTGAAAGAACTCACCTGCAGTCTCCCACTGATCACAGAGCCATGCTTAAGGTTGGCATACACTTGTGCATGTCTGAACCAGAACCTTAGTAGTAATACATTTTTTTTCTTCAAATGTTTAATTGTGAATTATGTGATAGTTTACATTGGAGAAGTAGCAATACTTTTTATATACACTTATATATCTTGGAAGAAATGGCATTTAGATTGAGATATAAAGAATTAAAAGTAGTTGTTGCCTAGGCAACA